TGGCGAAGAAACTTCAAATGAGAGTTTACTTGATGACTACACTGCTGAAGATTTGGCACATTTCAAATTTCAAATTATTTGTATTTTTTAGGTAATTTTTGATTGTTTTAAGGTCATCAACTTCCGAGCCCTATACATGCATAACAGTATTATTAATTTTCCAAAAATTTGATTTATTGAAAAAATCAGTTACATTTATAAAGTAATGATAATACCAGTAATTTATCACATGATTTGCTAAATTTAAGTAAAATAAATTATATGTACTTTTTTACACCAAAGAATTAAGACATAGAAATATTTTGAATAAAGTTACACCAGAACAACATAGCCAAAAAAAAGTAACTAAATATAAGTTATAAAAGGAATTAATAAAGTATAGATTATGTTTTTTAACCTCAAAAACGTATTACATATATACTTAAGTCTACCATAAAAAAAAATTAAAAAAATTGTCACATATTAAGTATTAACTAAGTAAGGTACTTACAGTACTTATTTGGTAAATTACAAAATTAACATAAATTAATGCAAACATTCATTAATGTTTTTTTTTTTTTAGTTTGGTATAATAAATAAATAATAATATTATATATATATATAAGTATATTTATAGTTTGTATTTAGCGATGATGATTAATTGAACAGTGATTGGAGTGTGTTACCTAATAAAAATGCTTGTTATACAACTAACAATGAATATTATGATCGATTATCTAATATATTATATTCTTTCATTTAGGTATCTAATTAATTTTATTTAAGAACCAGGTTCATTTTATCATTCAACAATAATATTGACTATAGTAAGCTAAACTTGACTTAACATATTATTATGAATTATATAGTAGGTATACAAGCTTCGAAAACGTGATACCTGATCAGTTAAAATATCATATTTTAGGTTCAAACTTGATTGAAATGTGTTATAACAGATGGTAAAATTATCATAATATCCTAAAAGCCACAAAAACCATATAAGCATTGGGTTCTAGTTAGTAGCTACAAATTTCAATAGGTTCATACTATTTGTATTATTGTTGTTTGCATTCGTACAAATATGAACATTTTTTTGGAATATTAACAAAAAATATTTTGTTGATAATATTGAATTTATATTTTTATTATTGTATTCATTAAAGCCAGTCAGCTATTATAACAATATTGACAAAAGTATTATTAAACAAGTATACGTTAACTATAATAATAAGACATTTATGTTTTGTAAAGTGAGGGTTGCAAGGCGTCAAACTAGTATTGCCCCAACAAGTACCAGGGTTACAAAGGTATTGTTTTGTGATTCCAGAAATGTCTACAATATTAGTTATTTTTAAAATGAATCTTTTTTGTTATACCTTATGAGTAATTTCTTAAAGTTTCTAGTTAAAATTATTTATGGTCAACAAATATTGTTGGAGCTCAGTAGAATAACAGTATTCTTGAGTATTTTTTGAGGAGGTAAAATTATTTTCTATTAATATGAAGTATTGCATTTTGTTTATAGCTAGTAGATATATTTGTATAATTTAAATGGAATCTTTAACATGCTTTAACATTTTTAAAAATATGTAAAAACTAAAATGAAGTCGTATAACTTTGAAATACTTCAGATTGTACACAAAAGATCATAATATGTTATCAATAAAGAGGATATCCTCAGAAAATGCACTGCTGCTGTATGCAGGATATTATGACTTATGAGTGACTGCCATGTATGGCCTTACATATTGAATTTATTATAATCAAATAAAATAAATAAAAGTGCAGTGTGGAGTCGAGAAGGGACTTAAAAAAAAATATTTATCAAGTTTCAACTGTTGTCAACTCGTAAGAGTGCGCCTTACCGGATTAGTTATGACCAACATAAATACAAAATGAGAAAGTGGGTACCGTTTTGCTGTAAGTACAGTCGGTGTCAAGTCATGGGTCAAAGTATATGATATAATTGTTAAAAATTTTAATTTAATGGTGAACTGATAAAAAAAAAAATTGTAATTAACTTTAAGGCTCCTCCATCCTTACCCATTGAAATATTTTGAGTACACCACTGTAAGTGTCTTTATATTTATTTAAAAATATATTATATCTATTCAATTAATTAAATTGGGAAGTACCTATATAAAATACAAATAAAATTTATTGGTAGCCCCCTTGGATCCATTATTTTTTGAGAACTTTTTAAAGCCCCAATATTTGTCTAAACATATTGCTTAAGAGTACTTAACTATTTTCATCAAATTAAATAGAATTTTAAAATATAGATATTTAAAATGGAAATCATTATTATATAACTGTTGTGTGTTTAGATTATGAAAGTACTGAAAAGTGTTACTAATAATGTAAAGTTTATACATACAAATATCAGCTTCACCAATTGTCAATATTATTGAACCGTTTTAATTTAAACACAAGTTATCTTCAAATTTAAAATAAGTAAATAGTGAATTTGGATATTTCAAAATACTTTCTTTTTAGTAATTTAATACACTTTAAACATACATTTAATTTTCATAAGTTTTGTCAAATTATTTTACCACATCACATTTATAAAGTGTTGTGAAGATTATAAATACACAAAACTAATTTAGCTATACTAACTGCACCTATTTCCTGTCACCAACTAGGCGTACATTAATATTAGGTGTTTATAAATTGAACTATTCAATATTTAAATGACCAATTTAGTGTTTACACAATTGTTAAGCATTTGTATTACCTATTCTTCAAAAATATTTATTTTAATTTAAATGGTACCTATTAAAAAATATAGGTATGCTAAATATATTGGGACAATTAGTCGTGCAATAATTATAACCCATAATGAATTTCAAATTAAAATTAACATAAGCCATTGATCACATTTAAATATTAGCTACCTAGTTTAATGTTTAAATATCAAAGATTAGGTATACACCTATAAACATAGTGTGAATGAAAATAAATATATTTTTGGTCCCTATCAAAATGTATAATCGTCTTAAAACTAATACAATAAAAGGTTTTAAGAATATAAGTTTTCGATTGAATGCCTTAATAGATTTATAATTTTTTTAAAAGAAAATTGAGCATTATAAAATGTGAACATCATAATTTTCTTACTTTGGTATCCAAATCAGTTTGGTATTGCACTGAACCATTACATAATAGTATTTAACAGATTACAAAAATTATTGGTATGACAGCACTAAAGGAACAACTAAAACCAAGAAAAAAATAATAAAAATGAACAATATAATATGTACTTAAAATGATTTGCGGATTTAGGTAGTTTTTGGAAAATGTAGTTAAAACAATGATAAAAAAAAAAAGAAAAAAGGTTCGTCTAAGAATTTATTAAACTAAAACGTCTAAACTACATACTAGGTCTACGACCCTTGATCTGTGTAAATACTGTGATAAAAAATAATAAATATAAACGATGTAAAAAAAAAAACAACAACATTGTTTATTTGTTTGGACACCAACCACAGCATTATCAATTGTTCCGTCCTTAATCACTTTTTGAGGTCGAGATAAAACAGTGTCACCAGTAGACGGACCTGGACTCTCCGTCCGTGATGTTGGCGAACTGCCACAGTACTAACTGATGGCATCGTCGCCGGTGCGAACCGTTGATCCATGAGCGGTGCGTACCGCTACCGCCCAGCTCTGAGCGCACTACACCACTACAGCGCAAATGGGTACGTTCGGCGCGATTGGACGGTAAGATGACTAGTTTTACAATGTTGTAGTCCAGTGCTCTTGGCTACAGCTACTGTGTGAAAATTTGCCTACAAAATAAAGTATAATAGGTACAATGGTTATAAAGACATAATAATATAATATAATATACATGTCGGCCCGCCGGGATCAACGGTTGTGCCGCAGCGACACGGTGCACTGATGGGCTGTGGCGCTGCGACGTGCTCCGAAAACCGAACGTTTCGCACCGGCACGAATACGTCTGCTAGGGTCTACGAGATTTCCAGTGTTTTGGTAATGGCGTTCGGCAACAACAACAATAATAACGTTTGTGATATTCTGTATAGATTTACCACTTTGGCTCTTTAATCTTTATAGTATAGACACTTCGTACCGTAATCGTCTCGTCATATATTCTGTTGGAAACTTAGAGGTTTAACGTTCGATACGGGATCATAGTATCCACAACGGTCTTTGCTGTGGAAGCAGCGACGACTTCGCTGTCATCGTCGAGAGTCCGTTCGTTGGTGGTAAAAGTGTTCGTTGTAACCACGATAGATCCAATCAAATTTCCGTCGAGTCAAATCCGAAGTATTATGGCCATCCATCGTTGATCGATAAGTTCGTGTGCTACCAAGTTTCCAAACGACCGACACCACCAGCAGGTATTGAGTTTGACCGATGAGTCTGTCGGTGTCACCGTTCGACGGATTGAAAGAAAATAGAATATAGATGCTGTTCGAAGCTTAGGTTAGGGAACAGAGTATAACGTGCAAATTTCTACATTGATTCTTGTATCTCCTTCAAATTGTGAGTTTTCAAATGTGTTTGGTGTTTGTTTAAAATGTAATAGTGGAATAGGTATGGCTTTACTTAAAAAAATACTATTTGGGATCTTTTAATCTTATTCTATATGCACCGTTAAAAGTTAAATTAACTATTAAAACAAAAATTCTTTATGAAAGCTACCAGAACCATAGTTTATACTAAATTTTTTCTAACATCTACTGATTTAAAAAATGTCACACAAAAGTTTGCTTATCTTTTTCTTCTAAATTAAGGAAATTTAAAGTTTTAAATAATAAATAAATGATTTTTTTTTTATAAAGAATAGCGTTGAATCTGTTTTTTATTGCATTTCCAATCTGAAAATATTCAAACTACATCATTATAGTTATACATTTATACCTATATTTTATCGCCATCATTAAAACATTCTAGAGTAAAAATGTAGTTATTATAATATGATGGATAAATTCAAATTTAGTTGTACTTGAAGTATTGATTTTAATAATGATTTATTTATAATTTTAGACAAGATGTGTTCTAATAAAAATACACCTAGAATCATGGTATTTAGACCAACATGGAATGAATTTCAAAATTTTAGTAGCTATATTGAGCTGATGGAATCCCAAGGCGCTCATAAAGCTGGAGTGGCAAAAGTATGTTATTATAAAAATATAGCTTTTTTTAAAATTTATATATAATGAATTCAGATTATATAGTTACATTCCAACCTTTTTTATATAAATATGTAATATCATTTATTTTATAATATACACATAAACCATTCTATTGTTAGTATTGGAAGCTACTAATATTGCAGTCAGGTTTGCATTTGGCGCAAATTAGAATGGCTTATCTATTTATTAAAAAAATTAACGTCAATATTAATCTTGTAGGTTATCCCACCTCCTGAATGGATACCAAGAAAAAGGAGTTACTATGAAGATGATATTATGAATTTAAAAATTCCAGCTCCAATATGCCAAGTAATACGTTTAAATACTTTTTATAAATTACTAATAATAATTATTATATTGATTTAGGTTGTTCAAGGTAAACAAGGACTTTATCAACAACTTAATATACAAAAAAAACCTATGACAGTAGGAGATTACAAATCAATAGCTGAGTCTGATGAATATAAGACACCTAATCATTTTGACTATGGCGATCTTGAAAGAAAATATTGGAAAAATATAATTTACAAGTCCCCAATGTATGGTGCAGATGTGTCTGGATCTATTACTGACAAAGATGTTGATGTATGTGTTAAATTTATATATTTATTTAATCTCAAATTTACATTTAAATTAAGTAAATAATTTTTTTTATTAAATAAAGGTTTGGAATATTAACAAGCTAGGCACAATATTAGATTATGTGAATGAAGATTATGGTATCAGCATTGAAGGTGTCAATACAGCTTATCTATATTTTGGTATGTGGAAAACCTCATTTGCTTGGCATACTGAAGACATGGATTTGTATAGTATAAACTATATACATGAAGGATATCCGAAGACATGGTAAGATTATTTTTATGTTTGAATATTATAAGTTTGTAATTATTTATAATTCTACAATATTTTTACATTTTGGTTGTAAATATTTTATTTAACTTCAGGTATGCAATACCTCCAGAACATGGTCGCCGTCTAGAAAGATTGGCTAATGGCTTTTTTCCAACTGATGCTTCAACATGCCCTGCTTTTTTAAGACATAAAATGACTGTTATATCTCCCCATATGTTAAAACAATATTCTATACCATTTAATAAAGTAAATACAAAAGAATTCCTAATTTTAAACTAGATTATCAATAAATATGATATTTTATGACTAATATTATTTTTTGTTTTAGATAACACAAGAGCGAGGTGAGTTTATGATTACTTTCCCTTTTGGATACCATGCTGGTTTCAACCATGGCTTTAATATGGCTGAATCGACAAACTTTGCTTCACCGCGTTGGGTGGAATATGGGAAGAGAGCTTCACAGTGTCATTGTCGTCAAGATTCAGTGAAGATTAGTATGGATACATTTGTTAAACGTATACAACCTGAAAAGTACGAGTTATGGCTTCAAGGCAATGATATTGGTACACACCCAGAGGATCCTTCTCGCACTTTAGCAGCACCCTTGCCTAGTAAATGTGACATATTATGTAACAAAAAGTAAGTTTGTCTTCATTATCCAAAAATAAAAAAAATGTTTAACTTTGATTTTTAATGCTATAGCAATACAGGTATTCCAAAACTTTATGTTGAAGCTGGTAGAAAACGTCACCCCGTAACACACAAACTTTCAGATTCTGAATTGTCTAATGATACAACACATGACAATACAAGTACAGATGTACCATCATCCACAAATGTACAAGAGTTAGATGAAAAGGAATATGAAGATGAACAACTCAATGATGAACAGAGAGAAGTAATGGAAGATATATGGCTAAAAGCTGATGAAATGGGTGGGTAACATTTATATTGATCTTGTTGCTTCAATGATTATTTTTAATTAAATGGTTATTTTTAGATGTCACTGAAGTATCATATAATAATGGAAGATCTAGGCTTTTGAATAAAAATCAATCGGTCTTGGAAGATATAGAATTTACAAGTGATAGTGATTATTGTGATAGTTCAGAAAAAAAAAGTTCTAAGAAAAGAAAGTCTAAAAAACGAGAAACTAAAAAAAATCCAAAATCTAAAAAAAAGAAAAATTCTAAATCAACTGAGAAAAAAATTGTCCCTCCTGATCAAAATATTAACCAAGCAGGTTCAACAACCATTAGCTTCAAAGAGAGTGATAAAAGTATCAAAAAAGTAATAACTGTAACACCTATAAAAACTGAAAGTATCAGTTCTATGAATATTAATAGAATTACAGAAGAGTCTCGAGTGAATAAATATCTGAATAAGAGTATTAAAGATTCCACAGTTTTCAACAATACCTCAAACAATAATCGTTTAATATCAAAAAAATGTGACAGCGTTAATAAAAACACACATTCAAATATAGTTATAATAAAACCTTTACCACCAGCTTATTTGGAAAAGCCTCAAATATCATCTCTTACCAGTTCAAGTACCCACGTTAATTCAAGATATCAATCTGATTATATACCAAAAGTATTGTTGAGTCCGACAGTAAATATAATAGATATTAGATCTACACAGAATTGTCCAACTCTTGAACCTGTACAAATGAAAGATGCAGAAGAATATGTAATTGATGGTATGTTTCAGTTAATTTCAACTTATATTGTAACAATTAGCAAAAAAATTGTAGTTACTATTTCAATGAAAATGAATATCAAAATTTAAAAACATAATAGTATGTATGATGTTTGTATTGGTTACAACAATAACACTAGTTATGATACTATTATCTTATTTCTTAAATTTTAGGTTCTAAAACATTTTTATTCTACTCTATTCAACATAAGACGTAACCTTGGTGATGACCAGTTTCACTCGTTTGTCTTCCCCATAGAGTCAACTATCTGCATGCCTACCGTGTTTAAAGCCACATCTTTACCCACAAGTCGGCTGCAGATGTTACTTGTTATGTTGAATAGAAAAAGGAATTCATTTTAATTTGATATTTAAATAGGCATTTTTATTTACAGGTATACCAAATAATATTTGTGATATGATCAATAATTGTTGCTCATTTGAGATGGAGCAACTATATAATGTATTTAGAAGTATGGATGATCCATATTGTTCATTGTGTATGATTTTTAATCGTTGTCATAAGGTAACATAAAATTAATTTCTTAAGTTTATCACTTGTCATTAGATTTGGCATTAAAAATGATCAAAATGTGATTTTTGCTTACACCAATATACGTTTAAGAGTATAAATTGTTTTGAATAAACTACATATTTAAAAATCATAATACATTTTTAATGTTTGAATGAATAGTTAGCTTTCAACGTGGATTGGCAAACCAGAGCGACCTCTTTCATGCATCCAAAGTTACCCGACTTGCAGAAACCTAGCAAAGCTTTATTCAAACATGCACTCTGTGGCGGTGACAAAGGTTTTAAGGCAGATCTCATAAGATGTGAAAAATGTTATTTGACGGTTCATAAAGTATGTTATGGAATTAATGTAGACACAAGTAAACATTGGTTGTGTGATCGATGCATGAAAAATAAGATGCTTGCTGTAAGTATATTTATAAAGTAATAAATTATGTAAAGTTGCACAAGTAGCTAAAAAAATAATTTTCCAACTACTACATTTTTTACACTTGTGCACACAGGTATCCAATTTAAGTTGAATAAAATATAAACATCTGTGAAATTAGTAGCTGCATATTTTTTTTATTGAATTTAAGTTTTTTTCTATCTTAAAATGTTGTTTTAAGATCTATACTGAAAAAAAATAATATTTTATTTATCAAAACTAGCTTATTATAAAATCTTAATAAGTATTGAAATTTATATTTATAGACTTGTGTATACTGTCCATTAAAAGGCGGAGCTCTTAAAGAATTTAAATTCAATGTATGGTCACACGCTGAATGTCATCTTCTAGTGCATGGCAGTAGTACATTGACTATCAATACTTTTACAACGGACTTTTCAACTAACCAAAAGGTATACTATTTGGGTTCATTCTTAAGTTGTATTTTATTTTTTACTTAAATTATGCAGCATTTTAAACATTAAATATTTTACAGTGTGTAATATGCAATTTAACTTGTGGCAGTTGTTTTCGTTGCTCTGAAAGCGATTGCAATGCTTGGTTTCATGTTTCTTGTGGAATATTTGCTGGATTTGATTATCAAATTGACCGAAGAAATAAGCATATTTTAATCTTTTGCATAAGTCACTGTCATATTCCAGATAAAGTAAGTAATACTCCATATTACGTATGTTAATTATTTTATTGTGGACTTTTCCATTTTTAGCAACCGGTTGTTCATCTAAATCAAAAAGTATGGGTCAGGCAACATAAAAGGATCATTGAATGTCGAATTGAAAACATTGATAAAGGTCCTTCATGTGTTGTAAAATTTAGTGATGGTTCAGTATCAGACAGTATTTCAATACATGAAATTAAGGTAATCTTATTTGTTGCACTTTTTGTATTATTTTTTTAATGTTCAGATAACATCACTTATGTTTAATCACAAATTTATATTAAGATGCCTAAAATATTTTTGTCATCAGAATACAACATTTCATTTTGCATACATCTAAGTTAGATATTTAAATTATTTGACCTATCAACTTAAATCTTAAATTGACTGAATAACAGTATTTTTTTTCAGATATAATTCTTCATGTTTTTGAGTTATTTAATTACTGATATAATTTATATTTTTGTTATGTAAGTCAATTATTTCAGGATTATAACAAAATAATATGTTGGTTGTATAATGATATGAATACTCATATTTGTGATCAATGGTTATACTAACAAATATATTATTTAGTTGATAATATAATTCATTGATTTATACTGTATGGTAAAAATTAAATAAAATAAAAAGTATTATAGTGCTACCAAATTAACCTGGTGCTTAAGAACTTTATTCATTACGTAAGCATTTTATAACTTTGTGTTTTTAAAAAAAATATTTTTGCTCTTTTTCCATTTAATTCAGTTAAGAAAATTACAAAACATGAAGTAAATAAAGTGTACTTCATGACATTATTATTTATTTGTTTCATCTAATATTCATAAATTATCATTATTTTTTTAGAACTGTTCAGTGACAGAACCTCCAGCCATTAACACAGAAGTACATTTAGAATCTGGTGACAAAGGTTTATTCATGGGGATAATTTATAAGACCATATATTCAGTAAGTGTGATTTTTCATATTGCATTTAATTTTAAAAGCTTAAAATAAATGTTATTGTACTTTTCAGGTTGTATATAATGATGGCACATCTGGTTATCTACACCCTGAGGATATATACAGTGAAGATGATCAGGTTATGGGCCGTTTAAAACTGAATGCCAAGCGTGGATTAACTAAATATCAGAAAGAAAAGTAAATAATTGATTTTTTTAGTAAATTTTTTTATTGTTTTGTATCATAGTTCATAAAATATTTCATTATTTGAACTTTTCCATTTTATATGGAAAAAAAATATAATAACTGCCTGAATTAAAAATAAATTTTATTTTTTGTTTTAGAAAATTAACATGGTTAAAGAAATTTAATAAATTATCCAGCATTTTAGAAATTGTAAGCCATTTATAATTAATATTTTCAACATTTACATTAATTGTCTGGTCTAGTTCAATAAATATTATATATTTTAAATTATATTATGATAGTAATGTTCCTGCAGTCATGTTCGTCCAATAAATTGTATTTATTTTATATTCATTTTAAATTACAACACTTTTAATATTATTGCTGTTTTCAAAATCACAACAAAGTATATGTTTTCATCAACTTTATAGTTTTAAGTAAAATCAATAGTTTAGTTTGACCATTATTTATGTACAGTATTGTAACTATTTTATTAAAGTTTGTGTTCTAGTTGCAATAATTTTTAATGACTACTCTTAACTGTCTATGTGTAAAGGTACACACACACTGGAGCGGCGGCGATAAAATTCTTTTTTCTTGGCAGTGCCGCCGTGGTGGCAGTAAATTGTGTCCGGTTTCATTTTACCGTTACTGCTACCGCTACCGCTGCAGTGTGTGGGGACCTTTATGTTGCACAATAATGTTTCTTTATATTTTAAGGTAAAACAATTTATTTTTGTTTGATAATATAATGAGTTTCCATGTGATCTCACTATCTCAGGTGGTATATTATATGTTTAAAATTTGTTAGCTATATCAATATATTTATATTAACAAATAGTTTAATTTTATTTGAGAACTACACTCGACTTAAGCGATGGCTGGATCATTTTTAATTATTCTATTCATAGACATTATATATTATTGATTTTTATTTGTAAATTTGTTTTACTTAATTTTTACTATATTAATAAGTACCTTTTTGTGTAGTTGTGTTTGTCTCATGTATTATGAACTTTTTTTTTTGTGTTCAATTATTGTAAAATAATACTTATAAAGAAAACGCTTAATTAAAAGAAAAGTTTAAAAAAAAATGTTTATTTTAATTCAGGTGCTTTTCTCACGAAATACCAGCTATATAAGACCTGTTGACCTATATTACTAAGTATATTTTATTATACTGATATTTAGATAGCAAACGTTATTGTGTGTATTAAAATATATAACAATAGGTGTTGGGGAGTTCAACCCCTCCCCCCCATGAACATTTTTCAAATATTTATGTACATTTCACTTACTATTTACATATAATTATTATTTTAATTCATAATGTATGTTGATTATATTATATTAATAAAAATTGACTCCCTCCCCCCATTCAACATTTCTGAGCACGCCTCTGATAGGTATATAAGAGGACACTACACCCGCATTTGTTGTTTTGGTCTAACAGGTGAGTAGGTAACATGGCAAATTTACTCTCAGCAGATCACATTTAGCCTCGTTAGTTTAAAAATTAGTGTGGATCCTATTATGAAACTTGATAGTAAGAACATTATTGATGTCCGTGTGTGGGTTTTTTTACAATAGTTAAATATTTTAGCAAGTTTTGCGTTTATAAATTGAAAATGTTCACAAAACTCACTTAAAAATGACTGAATTATCGTAAAAAAACCACTTACAAACACATAATGTTCTTACCATGACGATCAAGTTCCATAATAGGTCAATTCAGTTTAATTTTTAAATTAACAAAACTTAATGCGACCTGATGAGATTAAATTTTTTACGTTACGCATTCGTAAGATGACGACAATACAAATGTCCGTGTAGCGTAATCATGAATTTCAAGTAGGTACTTTCGAATTTTTAAACGAAATAACTAAAAATGGTATTCTTTATAATATCCAATTTTGTTTTAGTTTTAACTTCAAATACTGAAATACCTACCTCTATAAAAAAAAAACTAAATTAATTTTTCGAGTATAGTAGAAACTTTTTAGGAAAAATCTTTTATTAAATTTATGAATCCGTACCTTTAAAAATTGAACATACAATTTTCCAATACAAAACAACCATCAAATTTTCAAGTTTTTATGGATTTTGTAAAAAACTTTTATCGCTCATAAAATAATATCGCCTTTATATGTATATCGTTAATATTTTCTGCTACTATTAAATCAACTTATCAAGAACCTTAATAGTTTTCTAGATTTTTGATTCAACGAAAAAATCCTATCAACATTTTTACAAAAAAACTAAAACGGAAAATTTGATAATTTCAGGTGTCTATAAATAGCAGCTAGATACAAGACAAAATGTTCTCATGAAAATCTCATCATGAAAATTATAAATTAAGCATTCGGCGAAAATATCAAGTACCAATCTACAGTAATTAATTTTTTAATCACGACAAAATAGAAAGGTTAGGTTAGGTTAGGTTAGGCTAAAGTTTACGATTGCATATCCAATGTAAAAAACTTCAAGCGCCCATGAAAAATGAATTTGGTTTTCCGATTAACATTTTTTTTTTTTGCTACAGGTATAAAACGTATAAAGGAATCTTACATTGAATTTTCAAATCTTAGATATAAAAAACAAAATTCATGAATTTCCAACAAAATAATGTTTTTAAATTATTGTAATTTTGTCAAAATTCTAACATCAGATTCTCATTTTTTTCTTTTATTACATTAACAACAACTTATGAGGAACCTTCTATTAAATTTCCAAGGTTCAGAGCAAAAAAATTTTTATTGATAAAATAAAAATATGAATTTTCTTATAAATGCCTATAAATACCACAAAAAGTAATATTTTTAAAAATCTATGCTGAATAGAAAATGTCCGTATAAAAATTCAGTGAAAATTTCAAGTATCTACAGTTCTTTGTTTGGTGAGTTACGCTAAAAACAAATTCGATTTTGATAAAAAATAAAAACTGAAAAATTGTTTTTTTCGGACGCTTCTGAAAACTACTGAGAATTTTTAATATTGACCTCTCAAATGCACCAACTACATTCACTTTCCCACATTCGAGTTGAATCGAAGTAATATTCCCACTACTTATACCATGCACAGACACAAAAAAAAACTGTTGGTTCTATAAATTATACATATGAACAAATTAAAAAAAGCGGGTAAGTGAATATCGCTCTCCTGTACATTAGGTGTCTAGGAGGTCGCTGTAATGGATGGTATTAAATTTGAATTCAATGATATCATATCATTGTAAACGAAAAACGATTCTGAGCGGGGTCGGTATGTCAGTCTAGTATATTTTATATTGTTATTACTTATTATCAATATAATAGACGATAAGTTGAATTAATAGTATTCTTAAACTGTCAGTGATGCTGGAAAAATATTGAATATACTTATGTAAAATTGAGCTGTAATGGAACCGAATTACATAAAAATGATAAATGTTATTCTAGGTTTTCCTAACCATGCAATATTGCCCAAATTTGAATTTATACATTTGTATTTACTGTATTTATACATCATTTCTTAGATTTTTAGAAAAACCGAGAAGTGGAACCTTGTTTTAAATTTTCAATCCTTAGCTATTAAAATTGAAAATTTTATAAAATTTTTAATTAAAAATCATTTTCAATTTCATAAATATTATCAAAATTTGAACTTTAAATGCTTATAAAAAATATCGTGCCTATGTATTAGGTATTGACGTATTGTATTTTATTTTTAATATTTTTCAACTGCTATTGTAACAATAGATTACGAGTCTTGTTTTAAATTTTTAAATCTTAGATATAAAAAAAAATTTGTATGAATTTAGAAACTAAATATAATTTTGCTAATTTTTGTGATTTTTACGAATTTTGTCAACATTCTAAGTTTAAATACTCACAAAAATTATTGTGGATTTACGTTCTAATTTTTTTTTAATTTCCATTAGCAATAACTTACAGGGAATCTTGTATTACATTTACAAGTTTTTTGACCAAGCGAACATTTTTTATCGACATTAGTTTGAAAAAAACAAATAATAATCGAAAATTGCATATGCTTATAAATAGTTCAAATCAAGTCAAAATATTTTGAAAATTTTATAGTGTATAGAAAATGCTTACATAAATATTCAGTGAAAATTTCATGTACCTATCTATTATAATTTTTTTTGGAGTTAAACTAGTTTTGAGTAAAAATTTCCGTTTTTCCTTCTAAAAACTATTGGGAATTTATTTTTGACCTCTTGAATGCACCAACTAGATTCATTTTCCTACCCAAAAAGTTGTTGTAGAAGAAAATCGAAGCACTCTTTTACAGTTTTACTGCTGTTTAAGACTGTTATCGGTGAACCATTACTTTCCTGGTTTCGCTCATACATTACAAATAGGATCCAATGGGTAACTGTTGATTCCACCTCTTCGGACCGCTTTACTCCCTCCTCAGGTGTACCACAAGGTGCTGTTCTTTCTCCACTCCTGTTTGCCCTATTCATAAACTCAGCGGTCTCCGTCCTCCAGCATGCCAAACTTCTTATCTTTGCTGATGATATGAAAATCTTTCTCCGCATAAAATCCATCTCTGACTGTCACCTTCTTCAAGACGATCTTCAGCGATTAGTTGCGTGGGGTGAATCTTTGGGGCTAGCTCTTAATATAGCTAAATGTTCAGTAATGACTTTAGTCGTATTAATGCTGTAATCGAACATATTTACACCGTAAACAATACCGCCTTAACAACCTGTAATAATTATGTAAAGGATTTAGGATTTACTCTCACACGGAACCTGTGCCCTAATATGCATATTCAGATAATATGTTGTAAGGCTCTTAAACTGCTTGGTTTCATAAACCGTGTCTCTTCTGACTTCCACTTGCTCTCCCCTCTAAAAACTCTTTTCTGCTCCCTAGTCCGCCCCATCCTTGAGTATGGTTCCGTCCTCTGGGACCCGTCCACCGCTTCCGCACGTAACATGATAGAAAGGGTTCAAAGAAAATTCCTCCGTCAAGCTGCTTACAAACTAAAGATAGTCTGTCCACCTCACGATTACACGCCAATCCAACGCCTCTTTTCCTTAGAAAGCCTCACCGATCGTCGTCATTCAGCTAACCTGACATTTCTATCCAATCTTCTTTCATCTAAAATTGATAGTCCTGAATTACTATCCCGTGTCTCATTTAAGGTCCCCTCTCGCTGTACACGATCATCTGTTCCATTCCATATACCTTTCTCTTCCTCAAACTACTATCTTAACTCACCGATCATCCGTCTTATGCGCATTGCCAACACTGACCCTTCATTCTCTCTCTGATATTGAGCCACGTTTCCACAAACTATTAAAACTATTATTATTATACTATTATATTCATGTATTAAAGGGTTCGTCCCGTATTGTAAAAAAATAAAATAATAATAAAAAATAAGAAACCGTGATGAGTATGACAGACACAAAAAATAAAAATAAATTTAAAAACACACGTCATTGTAAAATCAATACATTCATCGCTCCGCTCAGAATCTAAAATCAGTTCAAAATTATATTCTACGAACTCTTAATGCACTTAAGTATATACAATTTATTTTATGATTGTAATAAATCAGTAATTAGAATTACACTAAAAACCAAAATCGATTTTTTCGAAAACTGGGTTCTCGTAAAAATTTCAGTTTTTCCTTAATTTTTTGTTTGTTTTTCCTGTCGCTTTTGAAAACTATTGGGAATTTTAAATTATGACCTCCCAAATGCACCAACTAGATTCATTTTCCTACCCGAAAAGTTGATGTAGAAAAAAATCGAAGCACTTTTACTGCAAAAGCCGTGAAGACAGACACACAAAAAAATAAATATAAAAACACACATCATTGTAAAATCAAAAAGTTCATAGCTCCGCTCAGAATCTAAAAATACACATCATTATAAAATCAATACAGCTATCGTTCCACTCAGAATCTAAAATTACATATCACCAGAGAGTTTATAGCA